TAGAAGTACAGTAACTTGTGAAATGATTAGAGAGTATTAGAGAGGTTACCCTAATTATGCGAGATGTTTGTGTCAAGCATATTTAAGTCACTGCAAACTAGGGGCCATAGTGCGCAATGCGAGAATGCTTAATTAAAGTTTGGGGCTCATAGTGCGCAATGCGAGAATGCTTAATTAAAGTTTAACTTCTAGTATCTGCCCTCTATGTACAAAAATAAAGCGTTGATCTTAACCAGTAAGTCAGTGGTGAAGCGCAGTCCGACCAAGATCACAATTTCCTGCTGATGCCCTCTGTCTGCACATACCGAAGGGATGAGCACATTCCTAAAATACTGGATACGGATAGAGTTTTATATAAGTCCGTTATAAATAGCGTCTTTACTAGTAAGGAACCTAAGAAACAACATTGTTTCTTCATTTTATCACGTAAACCAACGAATATTTACGCGAGAAGTGCTAACTGATGTTATAATGCCACTTTATGTTATAACGGTGTTCCGTTAAGACCAGCGCTTTTTCTCTGAGAACGAAAAGTCCGAAGCATGGCAGTACAATAGTAACAGTACGAGAGTACGTTGGTGACAGTACCACTTACTATAGTGACAGTCACCATCGTGTCGTCGTGCTTTGCCATCATACAGTCGTACTGTCACACTGTCGACATCGTACTGTCTATTTCGAGCTTTTGGTTCTCAGAGAAAACGCGCTGGTCATAACGGAATATCGTATAAAAGCTTTCATGGATATCCGTGATGCATGCTTTTTTGTTGTTTTTTTTCTGCACTTGATAGTATGCTATGCGATAACTGTCGTTTTGACATACGTTTTGGTTTGATGTATAGCACATTATTATTATTCCGAGGTAAAAAAATAACGACTGCGCAGTGCATTTACTTTGCTTTGACATGGTTAATAAATAGGGATTAAATAACAAAAGCTTAACATATAATGACCATATTCAATTTATTGTTTCAAAACGATCAAAGAATATATATTTACAGCTGTAACATTAGAGACTTTCCATCAAATACTATCTATTCATTTGCAGCAAGAAGAAATTATCACATCAATAAAAGTGAAATTACAAGTTGGAAGAAAGCACATTTTAACACTATAATTTACAATGTAAGATTGCAGCATGACGAATCCATTTTAAAGGTTCAATGAGTGAAATTACTTGCGGGAACATAGGATAAACAATGTAAGAAAGCTGAATGCAAATTTAGCAGTAATAATCTTCCATAATAAAACATTGATCGATATTCTTTGGATTAGTTTTCTGCCAATTTAATTTGAATTCCGCCACACGCTTATCACAAAAGGTCACATGTCATAGGCACTGTGATAATTAATTTCATAGATTACTTATATACTATTATATAGCGCAAGGATTTAATTAACCCTTAAATAACAATAGTTTGCTGGCGGGATATTAACTTTAAAGATGACGCGATATACGGATGAATATAGCCACAACGAGATCTGTAGTTTTTTTTTATTTCCAAAGGGTACCCTGATCATGTTTTGTTTCAAGGATTATATCTGATTGTTATTATTTTATATTAACTTTGGTCACATAAAAAAATTATGTCTCATTTTGTTTAAGTTTTCTTATGGACTTAAATATTTGAAGATTCCACTGTTAAACCATTCAGTTAAACTAGGCTTGATTTTGTTACAAAATATTCAAAGGTTGATCGAGGGACCATAAATCTAAATAATTGACCTAATAAATGCTCAGCAGTCAAATATCAAAACTGGCACAAAAACTGATTCAAATACAAGCTATGTTTGTTTGTTTGTTTTGAGTTTTACGTCACATCGACACAGTATATGTCATATCGCGACGTTCCAGCTTTACTGGTGGCGGACGACCTCAGGTGCCGTTCCGTGCATTATTTCAGGCACGAACGGGCACCTGAGTAGAACCACCGACGTTCCGTAAGCTAGCTAGATAGCTTCCTCACATGAAATAATCCAAAGTCCCTGTCGGGATTCGAACCCACAGCGGTGAGGGGCAAGTGGTTTGAAGTCAACGACCTTAACCATTCGGCCAAGGACGCCCCAGCTATGTGTGTGTGAGCCTTTTCATACAGAGAAGAAAAATGAATGCCCTTTGCAATTCAATGTCATACTGCCTTATAAGGGAAACGTTGGGCATATCCGCACCTTAATTATATGATACAAGGCGGATGGACCGGCGGATGGACCGGGTGGATAAGTAGCCAATTACTAACCTAACTAAAAGCGAAATAAACTTCATGGCAATTTCTTTCAGACTTAGTTGCGTGAACATACATGTAGTTTACCGATGTCAAAATAGTAGTTTCGTTTTCGGTTCTCTGATTAGTAAATTATACACTGAGGCACTTTAAAACGTACCATGTTAATAAATAAAAAATGATAAACAAGATCAACAAGGAAAGGCGGCGTTCAAAACAGCGGACATAGTATGAATAGTATAAACTCGCTAACAAATCATTTTCACAATAATATATAGAAAGCCCCTGACCAATATGCGTCTGCTTCCCGTCAGGGAATTTGAAATATTTTATGTGAGGAAGCTATCAAGCTAGCTAGCGGAATATTTGCGTTCCTGCTGAGGTGCCCGTTCGTGTCTGAAATAGTGCATGGAATGGCTTCTGAGGCCTTCCTTCACCGTTAAATCTCAAAAGTAGCCACATTACCTATACCGTGTTGGTGCGACGTTATCACCTCAACCCTTATCAAATCAATATCACAAAATTATCATCACGAAAACAACACAATATTTGTTATGTTATATTAAGGAACCCTGTTCTTTTGTGCTTCTTTTCAGGATCAAGGTTTACGAAAGCCCATATTAAGCGTTTCTTCCTAGAAGGTAACAGTCACTACAAAGCATTTCTAACTTATTTTATTTAAGTCCAATATTAAAATTAGAATAGATACCAAAAGAGAGAAAGAAATCCCTTAATAAATCACAAAGGCAAAATTGAAAATATTGCAGACTCGGTTTAATTAAACATGTTCATTGGGCAGTACTGGTAACTGCAAGCCACTGTCCTCGCCCCAGCCCCGGCCCAGGGCGCTTTTTCATTTGCACGTAATCAGCGTGCGTGATCCGCGACAAATTCGCTCAACAAAGAATACGGTGAGTCTATTTCTTCTGTCAATTTATCATCCGCGTCCGCGACGGCATCCCGACGTATCGCAGGATTTAGCGATTTTTTTACGGACACGGACAGTCACGGATAGGCCTCGTCTTGCTAATATTTTATTGATTTCGAAAGAATCCTGAGAAAACATTTAATGAGTGCGGTAGAACCTACAACTGTATGGTGCATATTTGACAGATTATAGAAAAACATATGGTATTCGGTTGCAAAAGAGATGAAAATGAAAATCCTAACAGGTATATAATGTGTGTTCCTTTTTCATTCTTTCTTAACTCTTTTTTGGTACAAACGGTTTTGGTATTAGAAATTTATATCATATTCTACAAATAATTATTCTCTGCTTGCTGTACTATAATTATAAATATAAGGAATAAAACGTTCCTATGGAATAATACTCCCGGACATGTCCCGGACACGCATCATGGCCGCGGGTCACGGATCGCGTACAACTAGAATAGCAGAATAGCTGCCTTAAACAGTATTCTAATTTAAACATGTAATGGTAAAATGTTTAATTTAGAAATATCCACAGATGCGTTCATACGTCGGTTATCATGTTTTACTCTAGTGTCATTTCATGAAAAGCGGCGTATGGTCCCCAAATAAACAATGCGTGTTTCATGAACTAGAAAACAATGGGCGGAATTGAACACAATGTAATTTTGAAAGGGGGTCAGAGATTTTGAAGCCTGTGTATCAATTTAAAAAGCAGGTCACATATTCTAAGGGTAATTATAGAGTCAAATAATGGACTTCTGTAACCACCCAAGTAGAAATTACCTAATATACATAAATTAAATACCACATACACAACAATAACGTCTTGGTTAAAAAGGTTTTAATTATTTAGTAAAATCTTGTTTGCTCTTTGCTTTCATTCTAGCTAACTTCGGTTTAAAATGCCCTTGGGTACGTCAGTCCGCCTCCTATAGGGTCATTTACTCTAAGCGTTAACTATCCCAATTACTTTATACACACTTATGTATCAATGCATCAGTACAACTTCTTGACAATTACTTTTCAAAGTCATCTCCCTTTTTATGACTTTGAAGAATAAACCTTGTATAGTTAGCCTATTCTTGAAACATGTTATAGTTGCTTCATCTCCTAACTGGTAGTTTTCATTATTTATAATTACTTACCTTTTATGGATTTCTTACATTTTTGGTAGAATAAAAGGTCACACTAGAGTGCTATATTGCATTTTCATATTTATTATATCGCTTGGTGCATAGTTGCCTTTGGCTCAAAATCCAGGAATTGGTGCTAAAAGTAGACTTATTTCCATTTGCTCACACAGTTTTTATTTACAGACTGATATTTTTCATATTTTGTAGGAACAAAACTTTAATAGTCCTCTACCTTCACCTTGAGTATGAAACATATGCGTAGAGCTTGTTTACTGTGCGCAAGATCATTTAATGTTGCTAAAAAGTATATTTCTACACTTATTTCAAATACAGCCTTTGTTTACTGACCGATGTCTTTAATATTTACTAGATATGCATACCTTGGGTTTGTAGGTTCTCTAGCTTTAAATTAAGGTTTGGGGTCACAAGGTTATGTTATGTCAGGTTACATTTGTCTGACAAGAGCAAAATAACATAAACGATGACTCTGTCAAGCTTATGCAATTTGATTGTGTTTAAAAAGCAATAGCCTCTCAAAACTTAGTGAATATATAGAATCTTTGTTTGGCAAATTGGTTACTGATGGGAATTTGAACGTGCAAAATTTGGAAGTTCTTTTTATGTATGCGTTTGTAACGTCGTACAGTGTATTAACCTTCAAATATCAATATAAAAGCACCTTTGTCTGTTTAGTTGCCTAGTAAGTCATTGCCTTCCGAGCTAGTCGTTTCTTTAATTTTAACGATTTTTTCATGTTTTGTTTCTCTGGGGCTTTGTTGTGAAAAGAAATCAAAGGCAGCCCTGCACCGTGGATAGCAAAGGCTTAAAGGTAAAATAAATATTGTTCAAGATATTTTATCTTAGATTATTAACATTTGTTCTATGTTAAGTCCCTCGTTCTTTAAGATCAATCAACCAGGTAACAAAAATACAAAATTTACACATCAATACATTTACATTTACGGTATGGAGGTAGATGGTTTTTGTTTAATTTCATTGTAAGCATGGTGATCTCGTACAAATATATGCATTGTCCTAAATGTGTAAACCGGCGGCTCGTATTACTCAGCTATACTAAATAAAATCACAAATAATCGTGATAACGAGAAATGACGTCTATTTATTTTGACGAAATGACCGACACGTTCATTTTGGCGTCGGCAAAATAATTTCTACTGAATTTTTATAAAGAATTGAAATATGTTATCCTTAAAGATGTGTATATAAGTAGAACGAATGAGAATGTTGGACAATAAAATAGTGTATGCATATCAACTTGATAACTTATTTTGTATGTTATGTATACTACGGAAGCTATTGAATTATATGTCTGGAACATTTTTGTGTCTAAAGAATATACATGTATAAGAAATATTTATTTATATAAATTTTAAACATTTGTCCCTCGTTCTTTAAAATCAATCAACCAGGTAACAAAAATACAAAAGTTACATATCAATACATTTACGGTATACTAAAAAAATCACAAATAATCGTGATAACGAGAAATGACGTCTATTTATTTTGACGAAATGACCGACAAGTTCAATTTGGCGTCGGCAAAATAATATCAACTGAATTTTTATAAAGAATTGAAATATGTTATCCTTAAAGATGTGTATATAAGTAGAACGACTGAGAAAGGTATAAAATAGTGTATGCATATTAACTTGATGACTTATTTTGTATGTTATGTATACTACGGAAGCTATTGAATTATATGTCTGGAACATTTTTGTGTCTAAAGAATATACATGTATAAGAAATATTTATTTATATACACAAGTTTTTGAAAAGCTGACAAACAGTGGAACGGACCGCAATGGTTTCCTTCACTTCAATCATTTCAAATTATTCTGGTTCAATTCTGTCTTTTTATCATTATTTTTTTCATTGTTCATTTTTTTATGATTTGGAATAGTCGGTTTACGCATAAATAAAATGAGCTTCCTGTAACATGTACTATTTAAATGAAATTTTGACATAACTCCTAATGTTCATGTAAAGGATATCGCAAGGGCAACAGGTAACTATTAATGATATTAATGATAACACCACCTAGGAAATAACTGTCTATTTGTAATGATATCAGCAAATTAAAAGTTTGGAATCAAATAATTGTCATAGGAAATGACGTCTAAGTACGGTGGCATAGAGGTGACATTTGCAGTTTTATTTTATCTCGTGGCCACGACTCATTATCTTGAGGCCTCAAGATATTATCTCGTGGCAACGACTTATTATCTTGTGGCCACGACTTATTATCTTGAGGCCTCAGGATATTATCTCGTGGCCACGAGTTATTATCTTGTGGCCACGACATATTATGTCGTGGCCACGAGTTATTATCTTGAGGCCACGGCTTATTATCTCGTGGCCACGAGTTATTATCTTGTGGCCACGACTTATTATCTCGTGGCCAATTCTTTTAAGATCTCCTCTTTGATTGCTACTGCTATTGCTCTGCTACTGCTACTCCCAATTTTACGTTTTATAACTTTGCTACTGTTACTGCTACTGTCAACTTCACGTTTTATAATTTTCCTACTGCTAGTGTTGTGCTACTGCTACTGCCAACTTCATGTTTAATAATTGTGTTACTGCTACTGCTAACTTCCTACCGGTGATTATCACTTATAAAAGTGAGTGAATTTTATGAAAAACTGCATCTATAGAAACTTGTTCCTTCAGCGTTAGGACCACTAGATAAGAATACACAGAACAAATAAGTGATGACAAGACACTACTCAGTCGATGTGTTACTGGGGTATATACAGTTAATAGCGATACTAACTGATAAGCCCTTACTGAAATTCAGCACGTCTCTGGGTAAATGTTAAGTGAATCTACGGTGGTGCGTTTGACCCGCGCCTCCTGTGAAAGTTTATGTCAGTGTGATATTAACTTTTGTCCGAGATAAAACGACCATTTTCATTGGCTGAAATAAGTCGTGGCCATCAAATAATAACTCGTGGCCACGAGATAATAAGTCGTGGCCTCAAGATAATAACTCGTCGACATGAGAAAATAAGTCGTGACCACAAGATAATAACTCGTGGCCACGAGATAATAACTCGTGGCCACGAGATAATATCTTGAGGCCACAAGATAATAAATCATGGCAACGAGATAATAAGTCGTGGCCACGAGATAACATCTTGAGGCCTCAATATAATAAGTCGTGACCACAAGATAAAATAAAACTGCAAATGTCACCTCTATGCCACCGTTTCTAAGTGATAATAATGTAATAAGTTCGGAAGCCCATTTAGGCCGTTTTGAGTTAGAAGTTAGAACTTAGATGTAAGATCTTAGAACTTAGGTACTTGAAGGTTCCTTAAAGGCGGGAAAACGTCATATTAACTGCAAAATGGACAAGAAATGTAAGTGAGATTTATAAACTTTTTATTATATTTCTTTAATTTTATTTTGACTCAAAATATATTGCAGAGATATAGGTAATACGTTAAAAGATTAAAGATATACTATGCTCATAATTGTGTAAAATATTTAAATCATGAAAATGCATTGAAATCTATGCAATTCTTTCCGAATATGTCTAACATGAATGAAAAAATGAATAAACTAGTTATTGGCAGCAGTGTTCCTTCTTACGGGATAAAGTAAGATGGTCCTTTCTTAATAAAAAACTGCCAGTTTACGACGCTATATATTTATATTATGACTACCTGTAGCGTGAAGTGTTTTTAACATAATAAATCCACTTTGTTTGAACACAAAACATGTTTATATTATATCTACAATAGACAATGTAGCAATTATCAATAAGTTCTTTAACAATTTGACCATAGTATATCTTTAAGTGATTATATCTTTAAGTGACTATATCTTTATATATAAGACAATAGCGTCCCTCGGCTTTTTTTGAGTATACACCAAGTTCCTGTCTTTGGCAGACACAAACACAACACCTTAAATGTTTTAGAGTAACAATAGGTTATTGTATTTTCAGCTAAATTGTAGTATCGCACGATCATTAAGGTCCCATAAAAATGTTTTTAAAATGCGTAGTATTTCAATTTAAAAGAAAATAATTATTTATTCTACTCTTTCAATGTTCATTCGAGATATTTAAGTTATTTTATTACTTATTGTCTAACACACATAAAAGTATGCTCGGTATCCATCTATACCGATATTTTTATAGTCCGAAATTACTTCTCAATGGAAAATCGAAAAGGAACCAAAAGACTTAAAAACAATTATTTTGTAAGACTTCTTTTTTCTACCATCATGGGAAAAACGAAAATTAAAAAGACAATGAAAATCAAAATAACGCCATATATTTACTGAGTTGTCCGCAAAAATTTACTTCTCGATATAATGGAAAACGAAAAGCTATGAAGTAAAATTATAGGACCTTTTTAAAGCAATATTTGAAATAAACTTTTTATTTAAATATATAGGATTACATAGAGAGTGATTTCTACATAAACAATCACTAGTATTGATTTAATATTATGCTTATCTATATTAGGTCATGATATTTCTTTTGTATGATAAAAGCAAAATACTTGTTAATGAATATATAATTATTTTTAGTTTAGTTTTATTATAGTATATTGTAAAACACTAAAAGTGTTACTCTGTGATTATTCTTGCAGTTTACAATAATATTTCCAAAAACGATTAGAAACATTACCAAAGTCAACACAATCTAGTTACCATCTTTTTAAAAAAAATATTTGAAAATTGTAGTATTCATTTACAATTATTCTAAACATAGGATGTCTCAATACTATCTTTTAAAAATCTATTCGACAGGCGGCAAATGATAACATGTAGTGAGTACATTAACAAACAAAAAAAGTTATGTGTAGTTATCAATCTCTCGAGGAGTTACTTGACAAATAATGATAATATGAAGCATTTGAAGTTTTTTTTAAATAAGCTTTTTGACAGATGACAAAAAGAAAGTATTGACAATATCTATAATCTGTAGCTTCTTGAAACATTTACTCTACAGGTGAAAAAAATGATAATAAGAATAAGTATCAACAACATTGACAGTCTCTTTTTTAACATTGTAACAGATCAAAAAGTATTTGCATCATTTACAATCTGTAATTTCGATCTTTTTTAAAAGCTACATGACAGGTGATAAAATGATTGTATGTATAAACAAACATTGATAGGCATTTAAAAGCTACTAGATAGGTATCACAATGAATATATGTATAAACAACATAGATACTCATTTAAGTAGCTATGCGACAGGTTACACAATGAATATATGTATAAACAACATAATGAACAATTTGAAAGTAAAAGATACTCGACATGTTCCAAAAAAGTATTGATGAGTAGCTTCCACCAAATGACAAGTTACTCGACAGGTGGAAAAAGATAGTAGTATAAACAACATTGACAGGTTTTTAAAAAAGCTACTTGACAGATGGCAAAAAGGAAAGAAAAGAAAGAGAAAAAACAATATCAAGTTATCATAAGCGTCGGTAGCACGGCTGAAATAAGATAATATTCTACACCATAGGACGATAATCAGTCCTATATTTACAGGGGGGAAAAAACAAGAAAATGTTTTGTTTTATTTTATACATTTTATTTTCTTTTTCTTTTCTTTTCATAGATCAATTTGAGAAACTGCTTTTTTAATTTTAATTTTATGTATTGGCTGAATAAAGAAGAGGGTACTCTGTCAAGACACCAGTGAAATACGGAATATGTTTCACTGCAGTTTAAAAAAAAATAAATTACTATGCAGAAAATGAAAAAATAGCGTTTTATTTCATCATCACTTTCTTATAATTCATAAGTTTATAATAGATACATATGAGGGGAAGTCAGAAA